TGATTTGGTTCGGTTTGTCTGTCAGCAAGTCGCAATGACGTCATCACCTGTGCCACAGTTTTCCCGCATACGGTAAAAATATATTTCCGCAAGCATTCAAATGGCAAAAATAAGAGTTCAGTTCAATTCTGTTCAGTTGAGTTCAGTTCTGTTCTGTTCTGTTCTGTTGTGCGTATGAAAAGCGAACGCAAGCAGCGAACAACAATGTTGGGAAAATGCTTTTTGTTTAGAAATTACTGGCTTGCTTTTCTCAACATTTGTTGTTGTTGTTGTTGGGGTTTTCTTTGTGGTGCTTTCTGTCCTCTACCCTGTAGTCATAAATAATGACTGAGTAGGGTAGTATTAATTAAGAATAACCATTTCCATCAAATAAATAAATCGAGTCGAGTTGAGTTCCGAGTCTATAAAAACTTGCAGATTTTCATTTTTTAAATTAAGTATCTCGTATTTTGCAATAAATAAATAGTTCAGATCTGTGTACGAGGTATCCATCCAGTCGAGCACTTATTAATTAAACAAGTTTTAAATATCTGATTTTAGGCCACAATCAAATTTGCAGCGCGATTTTCTTTTTTGTTTTCATTGAGTTGTTTTTTTTTTTTTTTTGGTGGCATTCAGCAGGGATTTTATTATTATTTTACTTTTTATTCTTATTATTACTTGTTTATTGCATTAAAAATGGCTGCTCATAAATGATGTATACGCCCCATGAATTTTGTCATTGGTTGCCATTATGAAATCGGCCATTATGCATTATATTCAATTAATAAATGTGTGTTAGCCAAACAGCTGCCTCGCTAATTGGTCTAAGCTGAAGGCTTTCCGACAACACCCAAGTTTCAAACGAAGGCTTCAAGTTATTTATTGCCTTGAAGCACAAACAAAACTTCCCAATTATCACCAAATTCACTCACGAATTTGAAATTCGAGGAAGCAAATTGAATGCAAAGAAATTGCAGTTTTAACTTGATTTTATGAGTAATACTCGATTTAATTAAATCACGTGAAACCCAAACCTTAACTTAACTTAAGCCCAAAGCGTACTTTTTATTATGAAATATTCTTGATTTCCGATTGAAATCGAATAAATGAAAAATCAACCAAAATTAAAAGCAATTTTTTCCAATACTTAAATGTGCATATAACCCTTTCAAACGATTTGAAGGGTATGGGGCATAAGCAAAAAACAGCAGCAACAACCTCAAAGATAAAATTTAAATACACATTAAAAAGTTTCTTAGAAATCAATTAAAATGCTTCTGGCTAAAAAAATGCTGTTTTTTTTTTTTAAATTCCAGGCTAATGTCAAATGATCAAAACGTAAAAAGAGAACAGACAGTACAGTTAACCCTACACAAACACACATATATATATATATATATATATATACAGCAGCATGTACATATCTCATATATAATATTGCATATATCTAGTGCTGAGCTAGAAGCAATAAAAAGCATAACAACAAAAAAGTTGTGCAAAAGAAAGATAATTAAAAATTGATTTCATTACCACGTAATTTTATTTGTAGTATATATGTATATATATATATATATATATATACTGAAATCATGAGTGTGTTTGGCGAGTTTTCAATTCAATTTGTTGACTAACGCCGCCAATGAAGTAGTTGCTCTTTAAAGATATTGACACAAAATACAATTATGAATTGTGTGGCATCAATCACTTTTCAACTGGCAACTAAGACACCTGTTAAAGGCTTGATAACGTTGTGCAACAATATATGTTGTAAGAGATACAATAGGACATCATCGACATCTCTGACATCCAATCGAGATTGGCCTATTTTACATTGAATAACAAATGCTGGCATTGCTTGAATATTATGTATTTAAAAGTTGGATTCAATTGGTATCTGCTAGTCGAGTTGTTGCGACTACTAAAGAAAAAGCAAAAAGCAAGTTTACTTTTGATAATAACTCTGAAGAGTGAAGTGCTTCAAGAGATAATTGTATTATTTCTTTTCACACACACAACTTGGGCCAATAAATTGCAAGCTATATATATATATATATATGTATATATATTAAGCAAATGTGAGTAAATTCAAGAAATTCAAACGTTTTTCATATCTTTTGTTCCATGGATTTATTGATAGTTTTGTGTCTAAAATGTTTGCAACGCAATTCGAGGGATTTTGTTTCGACACTTCTGACAAGAAATGTGACATGCAAAGTGGCCAAGCCTTGTTCATTTGAGTTAAGCGTATTTCAGCATATTTATAATAAAGTTAGAATTATTTTTGCGTCATCCTCTTGTTGTGGTTGGTTGGCTGGTTGGCTGGTTGGTTGGCATGGCTTGTATGACTAAAGCCAACTCAGTTGGACGTGGGAGTTTTTTTTGTTGTTGTTAGCATTGTTACCGATTTCCATTTGTTTTGTGTGTTTTTGTTTGGCTTTTTTGCTTGGAAGTCAATTGATTGACGCGCTAGTTGTTGCCAGCTTATATGATTACTCATACGCCGCGTGGCACTCGCTGAGTCGTTTGTAGTTTGATGTTTGTTGTGTAGTTTGTTGTACTTGTTGCGCATGTTATTTGATTTGATGACAGCTGCTGTTTTTTGTTTGTTTTTTTTTTTGTTTTCAATTCCCAGGCGTCGCCATTGGGAAACCCTAGCCGCAACACATCTCATGAGGCAACAACAACAATAGCAACAAATACATATATATATATATATATATATATATATTTACAACTCAGTTCCAGATAAGCAGAGCGCAGTGCAGTTGTTCGCTTGTAGGTCAACTGCGGTTGCTAATATAAAATACATACACACAATGTTTTGGCCAAAAAAAACACACACACAACAATAATATCACTTGTTGGTGGCTCTATGAGCATTGTGAGTGCCTTTTCATGGATTTGGTTAAGGTGTCAAATGTGTAATGTGTAAATGTGACTTGGCCTGGTTCATTTGTCTGTTCATTTGTCTCATCCAAAACGACGCACTTTTGTCCGGGTGTCAAACATGTTTAGCCATTGAAATTCAGAATCCAAATCGGAATCAGAATCGGAGTCAGAACATAAATTTAACATTTTTTACACCACTTCTAGTGGAGCCGGTTACACATGGGTATGTGTCGCTGTTCAAGCTGGTCGCGGCTAGATCGACTCGTCTGTTGAACCTGCAAAAGATACAAGTTGCTGAAACCAGAATCGGAACATAAACGGACTACAACTGACTACTATATATCAACTGTCTGCTGCCAGGGTATTCAATTTTCGACGCTTTAATTTTCAATATATATATATATATATATATATATATAGAGAGAGGAATATTTGTACTGTATGCTGTATCATTTATTAGTTGTTCGTCATCAGTATTCATACTCGTTGCTATTCTGCTTTGATCATTGTTGTGCACAGATGTGTCAAATTAGTATCTGTATCTGTATCTATGTGTGTCTCTCTGTGTCTATGTGTGTGTGTGTGTGTGTGTGTGTGTGTGTGTGTGTGTGTGTGTGTGTGTGTGTGCAGCATGATTCTGTGTCTCAATGACAGCATTTTACTTTTACTGATTGCCTTAGAGATATTTTTTTGTTGAAATAATCAACACTGCAAAATTGCTCAAAGAATTGTGTTTTGTTCAGTGAATGCTGATCAATATCTAATAGATATAGCTTTAAATTAGCGCAAAATCTTAATAATCTTTAGCTATGTTGCTAAGATACATCCTCAGACCTTCTTGTGATGCTGCATGTAATTATGCACCTGCTTTGTTTTTTTTTGGTTACATCAAAAGGAAAACTTGATCTATTGTGGTGATCAGTGGCCCACTGCTCAATTGGCAGCAATCCAAATGGCCGCGTGGCCACTCGCAACTCTCTCTGTGTGTGTGCGTGTGTGTGTGTGTGTGTGTCACCAGCTATATATATATATATATTTGTTGTTCCATGCCAATGCAGCTTGCCATACGTAATTTCACGCCTTAATTTACTGCAATTCGATGGTGGCGACGCGTCGGTCACAAAAGGCTAATTGCGAATGCCGGCTACAAGCAGCAATAAAAATAACAACAACAACAGCAACAACAGCAACAACAACAACAACGACAGCAACGACGACGACAACAATTGGCCAGGCCTAAGCGTCTGTTTTGGCCAGCTCTGCATTATGCTATTCGCATGCTTTCAGCCCGTTTCGCCGTGTGTTTAAAGTTCATTCAACCATTTTTTTTTTATTTTATTTTATTTTATTTTATTCAGTTTTCATTTTTTGTTATGCTTCATTTGTCGATTTGCGCGCAAAGTGGCCATAAGAAAAATGCGAGGCGTTGTTTGTTGTTAACTGCACAACTAACAACAACAAACAGCAAACAACGGACAACAATTGCTGTAACATATTGAACAACAGCAACAACAACAACAACAACTTCTTATTACAATACATTATTTATGTTGGCCATTGTTCATTGATTTATAATGCAAACACGCTATATTGAACTACTCCCTAATGAAGTGCAGAAAGTGCAACAAATTGCATATTGCATCTATAAAAATGTTTAGTAAAATTGATGAAACAACCAAAAAAAAAATGGGATAATTGCTGAGCAGCAGTATTACTAACCCTTAAGCGATTTCTAAGCGGAGTGGAGTTTGTTGATGTATATAAAAATGTTGTAGAAAGCGAAAATGTTGCAAGTTAAAGTTAGTTATAGTCGAGTGTCACTGCGCCACAGGCTTGCTTGTATATAAAAGGCGCACATGTTTCTGGTTATGAAACCCAACAAGTCATTGGCCCGATAGGCCAGCTCGAGCCTTTTATGGTTCAATTGTTGAACGCTTGAATGAGTCAAACAACAAAACAGCAGACAATAATAACTGATAGCCTGTCGCCGTCTATTTTGGCCAAAACAGGAAGCCCAAAACGAAATAAGCTCTATGAATAACATATAAATAAATTATGTATATATATATGTATATAAATGTGTACATGTTCATATGTTCAACCCTTTCAATTTTCTCTTTATTCTGCAGTTGAATCACTCGGCCACCAAACGAGCACACAGGAAGAGATCGAGAGAGAGGAAGAGAGAGAGAGTGTGAGTGTGAGAGAGTTAAGAGCGTTGAGTGTTGAGTGTGTGTGCAGCCCGTCCACCCACCACCCACCAGCCGCCAGTCACCATCAGCCCAGCCCCATCCCCCACCCCCCATACTCAATAAAAAAAAATACAAAAATGAGCAAGAAACCGACAGCCGGACCGGCGCTGCACAAGGTCATCATGGTGGGCAGCGGCGGCGTTGGCAAATCCGCACTCACATTGCAATTCATGTACGATGAGTTCGTTGAGGACTACGAGCCCACCAAGGCCGATAGCTATAGGAAAAAGGTGTGTAGTCAATAGTCGTTGAATATGAACTATACAACTGTTAACAAACAATTTTATATTTTATATTATTGTTCAGGTTGTGCTCGATGGCGAAGAAGTACAAATAGATATACTAGATACAGCCGGCCAGGAGGATTATGCAGCCATCAGAGATAATTATTTTCGCAGCGGCGAGGGTTTCCTCTGTGTCTTCTCAATCACAGACGATGAAAGCTTCCAGGCCACCCAGGAATTCAGGTGAGTGTTTGTCGAGTGACTGTGTCAAGTGGCAACTGGCTGACAACCCCAAGTGTCGTTGCCACCAGCAAATCCCAGCTAAGCCTGAGTGGCCTGTCTTGGCCACTGCACCACTTACTAATTGGAGAGGCAACAGCCAGCGGCACTCATCCACACGAGGCACACTAACGAACTGAAGTCGCAACCATTCCACATACAGCGCTCATTACATGTATGTGATGTTTTCAGCTTAAACATTAAAGAACAATACGAAAATTGAAATGAAAAAAATAAGTAACATCCAAAGCGATGTTTAAGCAAGTTACAACCATGGGAAAGAACAGCCTTAGCATACTTAACGGTCTATTAATAGGACACAGCGATCTGTGCAGGTTTTGTGAAAGAGAGGAGGAATCCTCGATGCACATCCTAGCAGAATGTGTCGCCTTAACTAGAAGAAGATGCAGCATCCTTGGAATGTATGTGATGAATTTCAGTGACTTGGAAGACCTCAACTCAACAAAGATACTCACATTCGTGCGGGAGCAAGGCCTGATGGAAGAGCTATAGGCTCAGAAGGGGGCACAATAGATTGAGTAGGTCGCCCCCTCGTATAATAATAAGTGCAGTTCTGTAGTTGGCTTTAGCTGCTTGTCTATAAGATCTAAACCTGACTAACCTGACTAGCCTCTCTCAGTTAACTTAATGAATGAAATTGTGGCAAAGGTTTTGCTTGCCATAAATCAACTGTAGCTGCAATATCAATAATAATATCGATTGTCTGTCCAATTACGATTCCCAGAAAGTTTAATTTCAGTTGATTGATATCGATATTGATATCGATAACCAATAATTAAGTTGAAGTAGTCATTAAAGTCAATGTGATGAATATTTAAGGCTTGAGAGCAAACCTTAAGCATTTGACAGCTTTTCAATGTGTCCTTTGAGCCTGAGCCTGAGCATGAGCCTTGAAAGCAAACACAGACAGACACACACACACACACAAACAAGACATGAACATGAACATGAGCGCAACAGCAGCAGTTGTAATAGGATGCTTGCTGTGTGTGTGTGTGACTGGGTGTGGTTCCTCAAATGGATTGAATAACTCAATAGGCAACAGGCAACTGGTTGAGTGGCTAGCTGGGTGGCTGGCTGGCTGGCTGGTCTAACAAGAACGTGGAACGACATTGTTGTTTGTGTGTTGGCAACAGTGAGTCACTCTTCAAAATTGATAAGCGGCTTTATCGGCTGCCTAAGCCAATAATTGACTCTATTTAACTGTGTCAACTCTTTCCTGCCTCCCCCGTCCGCGTAGAGAACAAATATTGCGGGTAAAAAACGATGAGAGCATACCGTTCCTGCTTGTGGGCAACAAATGCGATCTGAATGACAAACGCAAGGTGCCCCTCAACGAGTGCCAGCAGCGGGCGCAGCTTTGGTCCGTGCCCTACGTGGAGACATCGGCGAAGACGCGCGAGAACGTGGACAAGGTAAGTGGCCGGGTTGAGTGAGGTTGACGGGTGCCACTAGTAGTACCAGTAAGGTACCGAAGGTTTATGCACATATATATATATCTATATATATATATGTGCATATATATTTAATGTAAACATTTACAGAAACATTTCTGAAGAAGGCTCTCTTCGTCAATTGGCTGAAGCAAGCAAGCAAAAATAAAGAAATTGTTTATAATCATGACAATTATGACAAATTTGAATCTAGAAATCAGCAAACGATATGCAAAATTTTATAGCGCACATTTTGTTCGAAATAATGAATCATTTTTATTTGTTTTTGTGGTTACAATTTATATATAGATATCTTTTGATTTTGTGTGTTTTGTTGTATCTTGTGATTGCAAGCACAACAACAACCAACAACCAACAACAGCAACAACAACAACAACAACCTTTCAGCAAATAGATAAACAACATTTGTGCTCCATTTTTACTTTCATTTTCTTCACATTCAACACATTCTTATCAAAAGTTTCTTTATTTTTCTATTTTTTTATTATTTTTTTTTTATTGTCCATTGCAAATCTCTTGCCAAATAGTGTTAATAAACGTTGTTGTTTCGACACACACACACACACACACACACAATGCACACTCATTTTGATTAATGTTTGAGTTTTTGATTGTAAAAATTACTTGTATGCCATGTACAATAAGTTGAAGTTGCAGCTAATATGCCCAATTTGTTAGTGCTAAACGAGGTATGAGTAATTAAAGTGGATTTTAAAGTGTTTTAGTCATGTTATCTTTGCTTGTCTTTCAACTGAACTCTTTAAAGATTAGAACGATTAAATGGAAACAAATACCAATTTTATTCATTTTTAATTTAAGATACATTTTGAGTACATGGCATAAGTGAAATATTTGACAATTAAAAGTAATTAAATTGATAGTTCAGTGATTATGATTATGATTGACAGATTATAAAGTTGGCTGAGCAGCTGATAATGGAGATATACCCTGCGGCTGCCAATTGGGGCACGCTGCGCACGCGCACCTAAATTGTAGCCTACTTTGCAGCACTGTTATCGCTCACTGTTGTCATGTTGCAAGCAGCTAAAAATATTCATAATAATAATTATGTTGTTGTTGTTTTTTTTTTTTTTTCATTTCAATTTTAATTTGAATTTTGTTTATATTTATGACAGCGCGTCAATTTATGTATAACTCACACTTGAAATGCTCCATGTGTAACCATAGCTCACACACACACAATAAGAACTACACCTACACACACACACACACACACACACACAGAATTTAGCTGTAAAAATACACATTTTTGTCGTTTTGTATCTGTATCTGTAACTATTATATACTTATATATATGTATAAAATATATATGTACATGTATATTTTATTTCCATCACAATTGCAGGTATTTTTTGATTTGATGCGCGAAATAAGATCACGAAAAACCGAAGATTCGAAAGCCACGAGCGGGCGTGCTAAAGATAGATGCAAGAAGCGGAGACTTAAGTGTACCCTACTTTAGGCATTAGGTGCATACTAAAAATATATACAAAACCAAAACAAAAAACAATATTTATATAAAAAAACTCAAAAAAAAATACTCCTTTAAAACAACACACTAACTTTACCTAGAGTAATAATATACCCCACTTAACCCCTAAGTACTTTCGTAGCTTGCCCGCTTTCGCTTTTGGCTTTTTTGCAACACTAAAATCCACATTATTTTTTTTTTATAACAATTTATTATCCTTTCCGTTTCCAATGATTTTGATTTCGATTTGAGTACCGCTTTCGTTGTATTTTTTTACTTTCGAGTTTTCCCTGAGTTCCAACTTGGCAAACCACCACACAATAATACTAACTAAACAACAACTAAAAGACTTAACTTGGATGTTGGTTAACGGCTTAACTATTTAACTACTTACTGGCGTATGGATTTACTAACCACAAACTCAGACAACAATTCAATGAGTCTGTGTCTGTGTCTGAGTCTGTCATGTGTCTAACCCGTTTCTTGTGCTGGTATCTGACCACATTTCACTTTCGATATATATATGGATATATATATATATATGTGTATGTCTGTTTTATAACCATATCGTTTTACAATTGCTTTCAAAATGACAAGCAAGCATTCTCTGTATTTTCCATTCAAGTAAGGCTGATCAGCAGATCACAATTGATCAGATATAGATCAGATGTATGCAGCAGCTCGGAATCAAATATATCAGTTATATATATCAGTTAGCGTAGAAAATGAATCAATTTTAAATGCTGCATTTAACGCGTAGAACTTATGCAATTCTAGCTTCTTGAAAGTGCACTTTCATCAGCAACACTAAAGTTGAAGCCATTTCAAAATATTGAAACTAAAGATTATTATCTGAATACTGATACCTACACATTCACATGTACATACACACACACACACATACATACACTCATATATACATACATACACACATACATACATAGATACACACTTGAAGAATTGATTTAGTTTTGTATACATTTCGCACATTTGAAATACGTATCGAAGTCATTTTCGAAAGACCACCCAAAAAGTTCTTTTTATTTGGTTTGGTACTCCAATTATTCTTTCTTTCTTTTTTTTTTTTGTTGTATATATATTTTTTGATTTCTATGTATTTAATTTATTGATATTTTTCAAAGATTTCTGGTGTATGAAACTTTTTGCTTTCGGTTTTTAGCCACTTTCAAAATTATGTAATTCTAGAACAATCAACAAAAAACTTAACCCAACAACAAAATCAACCAATTAACGCTTTCGATTAATTAATCATTCATTATGAGTGTGTGCTCTCCTCTATTGTGTCCAGGTATTTTTCGATCTAATCAGGGATATTTCATCACGCAAAAAACAACGTCAGATGGACGTGAAAGAGCCGGCGAAGCCTTCTCCTTGCTGCCAATTGTTGTAAAATTCAACTGCAACAACAAGCGAAAACAACAACAACAACAGCAACAACTAAAAACAGCATGAAACACAACAACAACAACAAAGGCCACACGGATATACAACAGCAACAACAACAACAACAGCAATAACAAGTAAAAATAAAACAAACAAAAAATGCAACAAAAATAATTAAATGGTTATGTTAATGATATTGAATAACAACAAGCAACAGCAACAAAATTGTATCAAAATTATTTGCAACATTTCAACGATGATTAAATTTAAATAAATTATGAATTATATGTAATATACATAAATAACAAAAGTCGATATATATATATATATATATACAGATATATATACATAGAAATGAAATTATTATTTAGGCAACAACAATCAAATAAAAATACAAATAAAAATAAAAAAATAAATGTTTCAAAGCACAGCGCCAGCTTTTAATTTATAATTGATCGATTTATTTTGCTAAAATACAAAATAAATAGAAAAACATAAACATAAACATAAACAATATACATAATAATAAACAAAACAGATTATTATTAACAATTTAGCGAGCTATAAACTACATCTATGCAACTTATATAAACGTGAGCACTTCATTTTATAAATATAGTTTTTGTTTATTGTTTATAAAGTAATAGCAAAATGTCAAACAATTAAAAGAAAACACACACACACAAACACACAGAGAAAAGCTTTTTATAAATATATACATGCAAAACATATGTATATACATAAATATAGTTTCAAATATATATTATTGTAAAATGCAGCGGCAGGTTTAAAAAAACAAAAAACAAAACAAAAACAACTCCATCTCTAAATATGATATTTGAAATACTATGTAAAAACGTAAAACAAACAAACAACAAAAAATCAAAAAAAAAAACTAATGCAAACTCAAACTTTTATGCGATTTTTGTAATTTTCTAACCAGCCACAAATGCAAATCAAGAAATCTAAAGTTTAAATTATACAAATAATATAAAACTTAAAACTTAAGCTGCATTTTTGGAAAGAAACAAAAAAGAAACAAATATATTTTTTTTCATTTTGTAATTTTGTATGCTATATTTGCAGCGATTGAGAAATTATTAATTTTAATCGTATCTCTTATTTTATTATTTTAAACAAATTTTTTTTCTGTTTCTTGCAAACTGCATTCTGTATTTTAATATTTAAGCTATTATTATTATAATTAATATTATTATCATAATGATAACGCCTACATCTAATTATTATTAAATATATAAGTTATGCAATTTACTTGATTTCCATTGTGCATTTTGCTATTCAATTTGTTGGGCCTGCTTCTTCAACTAGTACTTTTGTTAGATTTTGTTTCGTGTATGATACGCATGTATATTGAGAACAGTAATCAGAAAAAAATGTTGCTATGTATACATAAATATAGATTATATTATGATAAGGGGCTAGGGAACTGGACAAGCCGCATCAGCCAAACACCATTTTTAGCATTCTATTTTCGCACACACACACACACACACACAACACACAACTTTCTTGCTCCTATACACTTATAAACACACCTACACAGTCCCATGCCTATTTATACATACATACATATATTGAAATTTAAATAAGTGTACCAATTTTTTTAGCAGCAATAGCAAAACATTTTTTTGATAAACTTTTATTATAATGACTATGAGTAAAACTGGATTGAAAATATGTTTAGCTTGAAAATAAACAAAACTATATGAAATCAAAAAAAAAAAAAAAAAAAAATGCGTTTCATTTTCTATTTGGTTTATAATAACTCGTTTTAAGTGGGACCTGAAATTATTTGAAATATTAGATAAATTCAAAATATGGCATAGGATGATGAAATCTTTAATCGTTATCAATTGGATTTTTATTAATCATGATGAAAGGCTGCACAGCTGCCAGAAACTTATAAAATTAGTTGGAACATGTCCTGCTGATGGCTGAAACTAAGAAAATCTAAATTCTGGAGCAACCAACTGCATCCAGCACATAATTCCGTAAGCTGAACTAAAGCTACCCGATGGAAAATATTATCTATCTATCTATCATGTGGTTCTCCGCCTATTAGATATTTGTACACAACATGCGTATATTAAACTTATAACTTTTATATACCAAAAAATCAATGCTTACCTCAATGTGATTTACGAAAACCTATGCAAATATAAAATAATGTGTCTCTAACCCATATAGTCTTTGAGATCGTAGTCGGATATTGATGGCTCGGCAAAGCTCGTTGTTCTGCCTTATTTAGAATTCGTAATTTGGATATACTCGTACAATTAACTCAGACACAGCCACCCGACATTTCCAAGAAATTAGAATGCAATTTGATTTTTTTTTTAAATCACTGTTTTTATTTTTTTCTTGCATTTTTGTTTTCTTTACACATTTATGGTATATATATACATATATATATAATTTCTCATATATATGTGTATATATATAAATATATATATATTTTAATTACTCTTTTTTTTGTGTGTGTTTTTAATGCAATTAAAATTAATTTTACATGTTACATTTACAGGTAAAAGATGTTCGTTTTTTGTTTATATTTTTTATTTATTTTTCTTTTTTCTTGTTGTTGTCTGCTTTCTCCATTAATATATAGCTCTTCGTGTTTGTTTATTCATACATTTATAATTTGCAATACTCCCGATTTGTTTTCAATTTTAAATTAAGTAAATAATATAATAATAGCATTTCTAAAATGAAATCGTTTAGTAAATATTTAAAAAAAAAAAGAAGGAAATTATATTATAATATGTATAGAAACTAAAAATAAAGTATTATGTTCATTACTTGGCTACTTATCGAGATAACTAATTCACTCGTGAATTATTTTTAGAAATAAAGACACACATACAAATTAATTACTTAGTTAGCAATAAACATATAAATATGCAGATCTTCAAAACGAACAAACTAAATACATTTTAAATAATCATATTTTTGTATTTTTATTATTATTTTTTTTTTGATTTCGTTATTATTTTTTACATTGTTTTTTATTTTTACTTTTATTTTTTGTTTTTTTTTTTTACAACTTATGACTAAACATTTTACATTTACACAAACATTTATTTAGTTGTTCTGTTTTGTTTTTTGTTTTTTTTTTTTTGTTTTCCAAAATAGATTCTAAGTGTGTTGCATTTTCGTTTAAAAAAGTTGATGGTGTGAAAATAAACTTTGACTTCCATTCCGCTTTTCTTGCCTTTTTTTTTGTTATTCTTATTGTTACTTTTGTTTTGCGCTTAATAGAAAATGTACCTGAAACTATCATTTAATTTATTTCATTTTTTTTTTTGCATTTTGCATTTTGTCTACACGAATTACGATTTGTTTACTGTTTACTTTGCGTCTCTCCCTGTGGTGATTATATATATATTTTTGTATTTTTTTTGTTTCTTTTTTTTTTTTGTTGATGTTTTTTTTGCAAATGTATGTTCCGTTAAACTGTGCCAAAAACTGAACAGTTGCCTTGTCAATTGCAACAAGACAATTCCATATACAATAGAGTTATACTATACGTATGTGTGTACATACATACATACATACATACATACATATACATATACATATTCATATAAAAAGGTTTTGTTTCGTAGAAAGTATTTACAAAATGTGAAAAAATAATGTTTTTCTTTGCTATGTTTATGGTTAATGTATATTGATAGCCATGGACGTACGCGAGGGGGGGTTGGGGGGAGGGGTATTTGAAATTTAGACACAAAACGGCTTAGACTAAAATTTATGGTATTTTGCGTTCCCCCTTTTCGAAGTGCATCCAAAAAAAAACCTCTCCCCTGACTCCATACCGAAAAGCTCAGCATGCGTTTGTTGATAGCTATAATAACATTGATTTTTCTTATTATTATTATTATGATTTTCTTTTTATCATTTTATTGCCCATCTGCATCAGATTTATTAAAGTCGTCATCTCAAAAAACCAAAAACACAAAAATGGTTCATTTTTATTTTAGTTTTTTTGGTTTTGGTTTTTGTTTTTGAAGAACTTTTTAATTTGCAGCTAATTTGCATACATCAATTATCGAAATTAGACATAAACTTAATGTTCTTCCCTTTTTTGTTTGTTGATGTTGTTTAATACTTTGTTTTAACATACACACACACACACACACATAGACACACACACACACACACACACACAGATTGAAAAAATGCTCTAAAATATAATATTTAGTTTAGTTTTGTCTTCTGCTTAAATTTCTTAGTTCTTAGTGTAGATAAATATATATCTATATATATCTATATATATATATATATATATATATATACAAATTCTTAATGTTCATTAAGCTGTTGCTAACACACAATATAACATTAGATTTTGGATCAGTGGTTAAAGTAGAGCTCTTAAGGCGTTTGTTCAGATTTCAGATTTCTACTAATTACACGGATTATTTGTGTACGCTGCTGGTTAAAGAAAAACTCGATTGAAATCAAAAGTTGACAAAAAATTGATATGACAACAACACAGATTAAAGTCCACTAATGGTTATCTATTATCTATTATCTATTACAATATTTACTGATTTTTAAAAAATAAACAAACAGAAAACTGACTAACGACAACGTCTAGTTTGAGTTGCTGATCATCGCCAGATCAGTTATCAGTCATTATAGATAGTGATAGAATTGGTGAAAACGAATACAGTTAGGCGAAGAGTGCGGAGCTGCGTTTAGTTAGTCTATTGATGTGTTCTATTTTGTTATCCTTTCTTTCTTTCTACATATTGTTTATATTCTGAAATAGTTTCAAGGGCGAGTCTACGAGACGTATATGTAATCACTACATTGCTACAACAACTACATATATACGTATATCTATAGATATGGTTATGGTTATGGTTATGGACAATGGATAATGGATATGGATGTGGATGTGGATATGGATATGGATATGCATATGTATATTATGTCTGTAGAGGCGTAGAGGTCTGCATGGCTGCATTCAGAACGGCAAATGAGACATTCGTTCCCAATTTGATTGGGAATTAAGTGAATGTCGGTTGCGTATTTAATTCAATTTGAGTACACTCAAATCTACACATTTTTATGAGTGCGCAAGCGAAGAAAAATGTCGCAGAGACAGAGACAGAAACAGACAGACAGAGAGAGACAGAGAGTCTGACAGAGAGAGAGACAGACAGACTGACAGAGAGAGATACAACAATTTTGATTTTATTTTGCAGTGTTCTGCGAAAGTTAAATACAAATTTAAACGTTTTTTTTTCTTCAGATTTTATGAAAACAATAATAGTATTGAAAAATCGAATATTATTCATATTTTGTGAAATTCAATTCAAAAGTTTCAACAGAGTTCAAAAACTGAGCCACAACTCCGAAATGCAGAGTACTCTCCGAGTGCTATTTGGCAGAGTTCTCCATTCCATCATTCTTCCCATCCCTTGGCAAAGGACACTGGGACGTTCGCTTGGAGCACTCTAAATTTCTCACCCGACGATGATCGATCGACGAGATAAGAACATCATAGGCCGAACCCTTGAACGTACAAATGAGCCGAAAACAATGCCGAACTCAGTTCAAGTTCAAGTTAGAATGCAGCCTTGCAGACCTCTAGAATATAGATCCATTGGATGTACAGAATATATATATATATATATATATATACATACATATCATGTCCATATAACATATTATGGATTGTACAAATTCGAATGCCAAAAATAGAAAAATCAAATCAAAGCAAATGTAATTAGTAAAAATGATTTTATCGGTGATCTACAAATATATATATAAATATATATGTTTTTATATACAGATATATATATATGTGTATGTGGCTGCGACAGTATATATATATATATATATATATATATATTCAATCAAGTTGTTTACAGGAATGTTGTTCGTTCGCGCCCAGAGCTCACACATATATATATATATATATATATATATATATATATATATATATATGGGTGTATATGCCTTCAAGTTGCACATTTCATTGTTTAATATTTTTTTAAATATTTTTTTTTAATTTTCGCTACTTTTTTAGTTTTGTTTTTAGTTTTTAGTTTGGTGTTCTTTCTTTTGTTTGCTTAAGATGGTTTCGTTTGGTCAGAGAGAAGTACACTATGCTATACTATGCTATACATATATATATATATATATATATATGCTACTAATACACATACTCACGCACAGCTATACATACATACATTTAGCTAACATTCTTTTATTGATTTTTATCCTTAATTCGATGCTTGTCACACATTCAAGTTGAAAGTTGAAAATAAAAACAAAAACAAAAAAAAACCATCTCATTTTTGTTTTTTTTTTTAAGACTAAAGTTATATACACATGCGTACACACACACACACACACACACACACACACAGACGTATGTGTGGGTGTGTGCATGTATAGATATGCATATATATGTATATGGTATATGTTCATAAAGCATTGCCCCTTGGTGGTCTCTGTTACAACAGCGCATTTATATTTTGCTTCATATTAGTTTTCTTTGCTTTTCTTTATTTTGTTTTCTTTTCTAATTTCCACTAATGGTGTCTGTGTCTGTCTGTCTGTGTGTGTGTGTCTGTGTCTGTCTGTGTGTGTGTCTGTGTCTGTCTGTGTGTGTGTGTGTGTGTGTGTGTTACATGAATTTTAAAATTGTTTCATTGTTGCTTACAATTTGTTTTGTTTTATTTTGTTTTGTTTTTTTGTAGTTCATTTCTTTACTAGACTTGCTATGTATGCGCCTAGATATTTCATACAAAAGATTTTTTTAAGTGTATGTGTGTGTGTGTGGGTGTGTGTGTGTCTGTGTGTGTGTGTTTGCTGTTGTGGCCAACAAGTTGTGCTTGTTGTTTTGCAGTTTGTTGGTCTAAAAAAAATTATTTATTAAAAATAATTTATTTTTTTGTAATATGCATTTTTCTTTGTTTGTTTTATTTTCCTTTCTCTTTTTGTATGTTTTTTTTTTGTTGTTTTTTTGTTTGTTTTGTTGATTTTCAAAATCGATGCTTAATTGTTGGGCGGAACTGTTATTTATATTTTAATTTATTTATGTATTTTTTTTTATATATTTTATTGTTGTTGCTGTATGCGATTGTTGTTCTTGTTGTTGTTGACAGAATTCGAAGAAACAAAGAAAGAGTTGGGAACAATAAGTTTTGCTGCTTGTTCATTGTTGTGTTGTTTGTTGCTGTTGTTGTTGTGCTTGTTTTTTTGTTTAGTTTTTTTGTTTTGTTTTTGTTTTTTGTTGTTGTTTTTGTTGTTTTTGTTTTAATAAGGTGGGAGCTGTTGCACACAATTCAGTTGTTGTTTTCGTATTAGTATTATTATTATTAATATTATTATTATTATTATAATGATTATTGTTATTGTTATGTTTGTGTTTATGTTTATGTTTATGTTTATAGTTATTGTTTATTGTTATTGTTGCCTCTTACTGTGCCGCAGTGCCGCTGCGTAGCAAGAATTTGTAATTGTGATCCTTGTCCGCCTGATGGAAACCAGCTGAATGGGCTGCAAATACAAATACAAATTTAGCAATTACAATCCAAGTTGGACGGAAGGAAAGAAAGTTGTATTTTGCATTGATTACCATTGACAGCGGCAATTGCTGTTGCTGCTGCGGCTGCTGCTGCCGTATTGGCCGCTGTTGCAGTCACATTTGTGGCGCCAACGCCGGCGCCGCCATGGAACTTATTGTTGTTGTTGTTGGCGTTGCGTGTGGCAGCCAGCAGATGTTTCTGTGTCGCCGCCATTGGCGGCGAGGAGCCCGCTGCCGTCGCCGCTGTCGACGATGATGATGACAGTGACGAGGCGGATGATGAGCTGGACGACGACGACGATGATGATGACGACGAGGACGACGATGACGATGATGACGACGAGGAGCCAATGAACGAGGCCGACGATGAAACACCGCTCGACGAGGAGCTCGGCGACGGCGACGGCGTCGACGGTGTTGGCGATACGCTTGTTGTCAGCGTTGCCCCAGCCACAATTGGACTGCCCGCCGGGCTGATGTGCGGCGACATCGATGAGGCTATCGGTGAGCTATTGTTGCTGTTGTTGTTGCTGCTGCATTTTGTCTTCAATGGATTTATTGCAACAGCAACAACAGCCGCAGCAGCGGCGGCGGCGGCGGGATTCACTAATGCATTTTGATTATGATTCGGATTCTGTGCGAAGCTGACGGCAGCGGAGGTAACATTGTTGTTGCTGTTGTTGTTGTTGTTGTTGCTAAACTTGCTGCTGTTGGGATTGCTGCCCTTGAGCAGGCCCATTGCAGCAGCGGCTGCAGCGGCGGCGGGATTCAAATGCAGATTCGCATTCTGTGCAAAACTGATGGCAGCAGAAGAAACATTTTTGTTGCTGTTGATGTTGCTGCTGTTGTTGTTGTTGTTGTTGCTGATGCTGCTGTTGTTGTTGTTGTTGTTGCTGTTGCTGCTGTTGCTGTTGTGTTTGCTGCTGTTGTTCGCGTTGCTCTTATTTATCACAGGTGACATGGCCGTTGTTGCCACAGCGCTTGGCAACTGCAGCATGGATGGTGCAACAGAGACAGCCACATAGAGCGAGACGGCAGATAAAGAGGGAGAGAGAGAGAAGATAATGATCAATATAAGAGTTATATTAAATAAAAATAAATACTTCATTTGTTGAAATACTCAATCCAAACCAACATTTAAACATTTCGCTTAAGCTCGTTATGCAATTATAATTGATAATAAATTTCTAGTTTGTCTTTGGAGAGCGGATTCAGTAGATCAACCAGGTTGAGGCGGACTTACAGCAGCGGTGCTGACGGGCGTGGCGGTGCCATCAAACAGAATGGGCTGGGCTGCTGCTAGTGATGGAGATAACGATGAGGACGACGACGGTGAGAATGACGATAACGTTGGCGACGACGACGATGATGATAGAGACGATGATGTGGTTGCCAGGCAGACAGCTTCATTGACATCTGCAAAACAATGCATAAACAAAATCAATTTATTAATTCAATAAAACGATTTGAATTCGAACTCGAACTCGAATTCGAATTCGATCTTCACACGCCATATTTGTGTTGTTGCATAAGCTGAAGGTAATCAAAGAATGAAAAAACCGCTCAAAATTAGATGCAAAACTTGAGCTACATTTTGCTGAGCGCAAGTGTAAATTGGGACGTCGTTTATATATCATATATACATATATATATATATTATATAGATATATATATATATATATATAGATATATATATCTATGGATATCATGTATGTTTGCATGTGTTTGTGTGTGCTTTTCATGGTTGCACAAGTTCATTTGAATTGCAGCTGATTGCAGCCGCATTCACATCCAGCCAGCCACAGACACACACACACACACACACACACACACACACACACACATAGAGACATTGCTGCTGTCTACCTTTGTCAATGAATGGAATGCTCTGATCCGTGGGCCGTTTGAGGCTGTTGAGACGCTTTTGCAGCTCAATCTTTCGCTTGGCCTGCACCTCCAGTTCTGCCTCCTGACTCTGGGCGGTGGCGGACAGTTGCTGCAAGAGACACACACAGTTAAAAATATATACAGTTAGTTATAGAGGGGGAGGGATGGGGTGGCATGCCACTTACAATGACAAGTCGGTGCGCCTTATCGAGTATTGTCAAATTCGATGTCTTTTTGCGATCCTCCTCCTTGAGCCTCAGCTCGTTCTTCAGCACCTCGTAGCAGCCCTTGAGATGCGCCCGCCGATTCTTCTCCAGCTTGTTGTGCACCTCGCGTGTGCCCGCCCTGCAAAATCAAACAAAAAAGAAACAATGAAAATCAAGTTTAAAAAGGTTCTCTGCAATTTGCAATTATTCACATTAATGCTAATTTTATTCAAGCTGAAACCAGTGAGTGGCATTCATATGAACACCTTGCATTTAATAGCTTTTTTGGGTTTTTCTTTTAACATTATCAAATGACGTTGATGGCTCTACTGATAAGTGATTTCCTCATTTATATTCAAACATAAATCTCAATTCAAAATGTAATTAAACTGCGCAAATATCTTTAAAGCCAGATAATCTACTTTCAAAATGAGACAAAGAACAGTTGTTTTTATAGCAAATAGAGACTTTAAAATCAATTTTATATCATTTTATCGATAACTTGACTCGTTTCCCGAATATCTGCACATATTTCCCTTGGCCTTTCAATTGATATATGATAATTTAAGCCAACATATTAAAGATCAACTGTAAAAATGACATAAGCAAACAAAAAAAACATATTTTCATATTGAGCAAAATAAGAATATTAATTGTCTACTTGTCGAGCTGAAGTGTGGAAAGGAGGCATCTCCGTGTCCCATTAACTATATATATCTATCTATGTATCTATCTATCTATCTATCTATCTATCTCTTTATCTATCTATTTACATGTGTTTATTTTCCACTTATCCAACTAGTCTCTCAATTTGAAGCAATCTTAACTTAACTCGAAATTTTCGAGTTTATTCCTTGAACAGTTTGTTTATTATAGCTCTTCCATCACCCACCTAGTGTGCTGGAACTAGGTAGAAATGTGGGGATCTTTATTGGATTGAGGTCTTCTATGTCCATTAAATTCATAACATGCATCCCTAGGATGCTGCGCCTGCCTCTCGTTAAGACACACACTTCACTTAAGGAAAATAGTTTCCAGAAAAGAGAAAATGGCAAATATTTGACTAGGAACGACTACATCAACTATGAGGGATAAGATAAGATATGGCTTACCCATTGCTATTGGAACTGATGGTGCGCCTGCGACCGCCATGGCCGGTCAGCTGAGATCCCGTCACTGGCGCCGAGGTGGATACGGATGCGGCAGATGCCTGATGCTGGTAGTGCTGCGGATTGAGAATCTGTCGGTACGAGGTGGCTGTTATTGTGCCCGTTCCGGTGCCAGTGGCACCTGTGCTTGTTGTATTCGCATTGGTGGCTCGACCAACGCCCACATAACTCATGTGCGCATCCTCCGATCCTCCGCCACCGCCGAGGAGCAGGGCCTGCCCCGTTTGCGCTGGAAGTTTATGGGAGGACATTGAATAGGAGCGGATGCGGGCATACGGCTCGATAACGCGACGCGGCGCCATCGGTGGCGGTGTAAGCGTTATTTGTGATTTGGGCGTTTGGCGCCTCAGCGCCTGAAAGCCGGCAAGTTCATCGCCAGAGATTTTATAGCCACCACTGGCTACGGCCCCACTACCATTACCAGCTCCAGCTCCAGTTGCAGTTGCAGCTGTAGCTGCAACCGTGACTCCTCCGGCAACTGGGGCTGCTTGGACAATGGGGCTGCCGTTTTTGGCATCGGCCACAACGAAATACTTGCGCGGTGCCGCCTCGCTGGCAGCGCTGCCAACGCCAGCGACCAGCTTATGCTTGAGCGTGGGCGTGGGCGTGACAGTGGGCGTAATCGTATTGCTGCTGCTTGTGCTTGTGCTGCTTGCAATCGGCAACTGGAGTTGCAACGGGGTTGCAACCGATGGCACCAGCACAAAAGGGTTGCCATCAAAGCGGCCAGCGGCAGTTAATTTTCTTGTTGGACTTGTTATTGTTGTTGCTCTGCCTGTCGCTACATGTTGTTGTTGTTGTTGTTGTTGTTGAGGTTGGTGTTGTTGTTGTTGTTGGTGGTGTTGAGGTTGGGAGTAGGAGTTGGAGTTGGAGTTGAAGTTTGAGGAGGAATTTTCATCCTCTAAAATAAAATAAAAACAATAATAATACAGAATAAATAAATTAATTAAAAATCGCAAAATTAATTCAAATGTAAGCAGAAGCCAGAAATGTATGTGTGTCAAATATATATATATATATATATATATATATATATATATATATATATATATATATATATATATATATATATATATATATATATATATATATATATATATATATATATATATATATATATATATATATATGCGTGTGTGTGTATGAAAAGATGAACAATTAAAACGATTTAGGCTGAAAATACTTGCAAATTACGCAAAGAAACTTATGGATCTCGATCAAAAGCATTTCAAAATAATATACAAAAAAAAAGCATTAAATAACACTTAAAAATAAACATCAAAGGCTTGGATGGACAATGCGACAACAACAGCAACAACAACAACAAACAAAAACAAATCGCTTATAGCAATTTAGCACAGATTTGAAATGAGGTATAAATGAAAGTATGAAATGATTTGTGAATAGTTTAATTAAATTAATTCTTTTTAATTAAATTAATTAACAAATTATTAACTAAACAGCAAAATGCAATGCATGTGAAATGATAAACATATATATCGAGGCCACAATTTCAGAACAACAACATCAACAACAACAATTCGACATGTTAAATGACTCTCTCTTTCTTGCTCTCTCTCTTTCTACGTCTCTCTTTTGCTGTTAATCGAACGATTTGTTGGAAATCAGCTATTGTCAGCTATCAAATATGAATAGAACATAAATAAGTTCAAAACGTAGAAAAGAGAACATAATGCACACGCACACGCACACACGTGAAGATCTCTCTTTCTCTCTCTTTACGTACTCTCTTTCACTCTCTTGCGCTGGCTAAATTACATGAGCTTTTTCCCTGTGTGTGCACACAGCGAATGGATACAGTTTGTGCTGGCGACGTTGCTGCGGCTGCTGCTGTTGCTGCTGCTGCTGCGTATTCGATCGCCACGTGCGCTTTCATCACGTGGTTCACACAATTACATACATGTTTGTAGACACACACACACACACACGCACTCACGCACGCACGCACACACACACATACCAAGACGACGAAAGTGGCGATATATCCATTTCTTTTTGGGCGTCGCTACGGCTGACGTCAACGTCAACATTGAGGGTAACTGCGACGGCGACTGCGATAGCGATAGCGATTGCTGCGCCAGAAGCAAAGCTTGCAGCGCATCAAGGCGACTCAGCAGCTTAGCGAGCAGCCGTAGCTGAGATGACATTAAATCAATCTTTTCTTCGCGCTGCGACATTTCTTTATTGACCACAATCAGAAAATATAATAAAAAAAAAAATAAAAAAAACGAGAGCCGGTGTGTTGTGTGGGGTTTGTGTGTCTTAGCGCGCGACTAAACGGAAAATGTAATTTGGAACTGCGCTCGCTGTTGCAAAATGCAATAATAAATGCAAAAAATAAATGCAATATACATAAATGCAAATGGAAAGCAACAACAGCAACAGCAACAGAAACAGCAGCAGCAGCAACATCAACACGAGACACGCACGCATTCGTTAGCATATTACAGTTACAACAACAACAAGAACAGTAGTAACTGTCATGAACAGCACCAAAAATACGCCTTTTTTATATTGTATGCTTTTAGGCGACATGCGAAAAAAGAAAAAGAGAGCTTGGCCGCTTAGGCATCAGCGCACTCTTAGCAGACACACACACACACACATACACAAACTAATTGTGAAGAGAGCGGAATTGCATTGAGCACAAAGATCAACAATGCAAAGCAACAAACAAAACTGCGCTGCTGATTACACAAAACACTCTCTCGCATATCAGACACATGTATTTGTGTATATGTGTGACTATTATAATTGTTTTGTATGTGTGCTTGCTGATTTCGCTTGAAATTCACTAGAAGCTGGTGAATTATCACTTGACACTTCCATACAAAAACACACAGAACTGCAGGAAAGCTGAAGGGAATGGAAGATTGGAATAGCCACCCACTCGTACACATGCATATACAACATACATACATACACACACACACAAACACACATAAGCTGTTCCATTCACACTCACTTTCTCACTCCCACACACACAACATACACATGCAGCCATAAGCTGCTTTGAGTTGCATAACATTTGCAGTTGCCTATCCTCAGTTTATTGTTTCTTGTTGTTGTTGTTTTATTGCGAGCTCAGCTGAGCGCAGGCTGACCGAAAAACCAAACACACACACAGACACAAGGCAACAATAACAGCAGCAGAAAGCAAAGACAGCTGTCAAAATATTACAAACGCCAAATTGCTGCAAGCAGCGAGCATGCAACAACAACGACACGCATACATTATAAGTGTAAAGAAAACATAAACATTAAGCATAAAATAACATAAAAAGAAAGGCAGACGCTAATAAAAATATGAACGAGCTCTATACGAAAAGCAACAAAACAAAAAAACAAAACAAAAACAACAAAAAAAAAATGCGTACAAAGTTCATTGACTTTGCTTTACATTGCCGCGCGGCGTGCTATAGAGAGCGCCTTAGAGTGGCTCTCTCTCTCCCTCTCTTTCTCTCGTGCAGTTTGCATACTACGTTTGCAAAGACAGAAAACAAACACACAAAACCAGTAGCACACAACTAGCAAACAGTGAAGAGAGCTCGAGTCAATGGCGCTCTCGCTCTCTTTTTTAGAGTATACCCCGCTCACGTGGGGGCTGCGAGAGCAACGATACGTAAACAACAATGGGGACTGTTTGTATATATATATATACATATATATAAATATATATATATATATATATATATATGTATGTGTGTGTATAGCTATGACTAATTTTGCCCGTTTTTTTCATGGTTGCGCTTGACTGAATAGGGGAAAGAGAAAAAAGAGCAAAAAAGAGCAAAAGAGAGCGCACAAGCAGGCGAGAGAACGAGCAGCGACATGACGTGACCGCAAACAACAACAGCAACAAGTACGAGCGAGCGTACGTGCAAAAAGCCAAAGACAAAATGGTAATATCACACATACAAACATACATTTCTATATATGTATTTACACACACACATACATACATGTATGTATAAGTTGATTTGTATGTGTCAGCCAAATGAGCACAGCACAACCACAACGTCCAAAAAAATATTTAAAAAATAAAGTATTGCCGCTGGGCTGGCAGCACGCACCCCTCTTCGAGTGTTAGTCAAGACAGCAAACGGCAGCAGCAGCAGTAGCCGTAGCAAAAACAATAACACCAGCAATATTAGGCAGTAAATTTAGCACATGCAAATTTGGCTGCTTTGAGCTGAGCAAACAGAAAGCAATAAGCAATAAACAACAGCAACAGCGCTAAAAATATAACAGTACCTGCTGCCGTCGCACTTGCAACCTGACAGCGACATGAGAAGAGAGCATGAGCACTTTTTTTTTGTTTCGAAGAGAGCGAGCGAGAGAGAGCTCGCTCATTTTTGTTATATTTTCTGTTAGTTTTTGCGACTGTATGTGTATATGTGTGCATGTTGCATGTGTGTGTAACGCACGCCCACGCAAAGTGCAACTCTTCTCGTTTCATGGCTATGTTATTGTTATTGTACTTATGCTGTCTGCTGCTGTTGCTACTATCTGCTGCTGTTGATGTTGCTGCTGCTGTAAACAAGGTCAAAGCAAGTTGAAATGCAACAGCAGCTGCGCAACTGAGTCAAGACTGAGAAGACACAGAAAGAGAACAAACTTATAACAGAAAGAGGGAGTGGAGAGTGTTGGAGAGTGTATGCATGTATATGCGTGTGTGTGACTGTGTGTGTGTGTGAGTATTTGTTTGAGTGTATTTCGCTTACTGCCAATGCTCAAAAATGACCAAAAATTGTGATTGCAACTCACCCGAAACAATGCTGAGACCTTCGCTGCTGCGACCCGCTGCTAACTCGACGACGGCTCCGCCGCCGTTGCTGCTGCTGCCGCTGCCACTGCCACTGCCACTGCCGCTGCCAGCGTACTCATAATCGTGAGTAACGATTAATTGACTGCGTGGACTGCTGCGATGGCCGTTGCTAAGACGGATCACTGCTGCCGATGATGCACCGATGCCGTTAGTCAGCCCGTTATAGCCGTTTATGTTGGCGGGTATTGTTGTTGCTGCTGTTGTTGCTGCTGATGCTGCTGTTGTTGTTGATAATGTTGATAATGCTGCTGCTGCTGCTGTTGGCGTGTTGTTTCTGTTGAGTTGGCTTGCGCTGTTGTTGTTATTGTTGCTGCTGCTGCTGCTGCTGTATCCATTATTAGCACTGATGAAATGCCCGTCCGTTGCTAGCGGTGATCGCTTGAGCTTTTGCTCTTGCTGCTCAATGAATTGAGCAGCTTGCAGTAGCTCCTCTATGCCGCCCTGTGACATAGCCGCGTCTCACAACACAGCCTCGTACACCCACACACACACTCACACACACACACACACACACACACGCGCACACACACACACTTGCAAACACACAGCGCACACGAAGAGACCGTACAATCGAACGAACGAGCGAGAAAGAGAAAGAGAGAGATAGGGAGACAGAGGGAGGGAGTCACTCAGATTTGGGTCGACACGTATACAGTTAAAATTTTGGTTGTTGTTTATTTTTTGTTTGTTTTTGTTTCTTTTTGATTTGCTCCGATTTATTCGTGCTTCTTCCTCCTCTTTTTTGTTCTTTTTCTTATTGGCGGAGTGGGCTGCAATTGTTATTGTTGTTAGCTATTGCAGTTACAATAAGCACCGTTTCTTAAGTTTCTTTCGATTAATTTGCTTTACGTTGTTTGTATTGACAGATGTATGTACATAATATGCATGTATGCTGAAATGACAGTAAAATGAAAGAAACATCGATTAATATAAATTGTCATTTTAATGTATCGTATAATCGATGTAAATAGATTCAAATAGAAAATAATACATAAATATAAATATACACCTATTTTATATATATATATATATATATGTTAACATTTTTAAAAGCATTTTCCTTGATTTCATAATATAACTAATCAGCTGTTGTATGTGTTTGAGCAAAACGAATATGAATTTTTTGTCGCCTGTACGCATTGCTGCTGAAGGCAACAGCGCAGCAGCAGCCAAAGGCAGCTGTTGCGTTTGCGCTGCGCCAATTGTGCACAGCTGCGTGGCAGCAGCAGCAGCAGCAGCAGCACAAAAACATCAACACAATTCCAAATACAAACAACTACAGACAAAAGAGCGGCTGCCCCAACAAGTTGCACAGCACAGCGACAACGCAACGCTGTCGACGCAGGCGCCGACGACGACGACGACGCAGCGAACGCCTATCAATGAAAATTATATTTGACTCGTGCGTAAATTCGAGTTCAAATTCGACATCAGCTGCTGCTCCTCCGCCTCCTGCTCTTTTTCTATGCATGCATATGTGTATGTGTTTGTGTGTGTGTGTGTGTGTGACCATTGGCAACTAATGGTGCTTTATATTTTTGACATAAGTAGCCCCGTTCATAGTTCATAATTTATAATAAAAAAAAAAAGGTCAAGGGTCGAGGCAGTCGGCACCTGGCAACAGAAGGACATTGCAGCCGGCTGTCAAATTCATATTTTAAAGAGAGCTATCAAGAGAGAGAGAGAGAGACAGAGTGGGAGAGAGAGAGACAGAGTGGGAGAGAGATGCTGATGCACCAACAGTCAGTGGAAGCTTGCTGCCATGCAGGAGCTTTTCTTTTCTTCTTCTTTTTTTTTTGAATGACGTTGGCGGCGTTTTTGTTGTCTGTCAGTTGTCATAGCTCTCGCTCCCACTCTCTCTCTCTCTCTCACTCTCCTACATTCTCGCCTTGACATTAAACGCAATTTGATGGTCGCCTCAGGGTTGACAGGAGCAAAGCTTTACATATATACGTATGTATGTATGTATGTATGTTTACACATACAGGGTGCGACGTTGACATTTTCATTTTGCAAACACAACTAGGAGAGTGACAGAGAGAAAGAGAAAGAGAGAGAGAGAGAGAGAGAGAGAGAGAGAGAGAGAGAGAGAGGGGGGGGGAGAGAAAGCAAAGACGAGTGCGTGGGTAAGTTTGACAAAATTGCGCGTGGCAACATTCTATAAAATATTCAAATGCAAATCGCTTTAAATAGAACAACAATTTGCAGTAATTGCCCGAGTTAACAAGAACCACCAGAAGAAGGTGGCACTCACCCGCTCCCGCATATATGTTACAACACACACACACATATATATATATATATATATATATATATATATATACATATATGTGTATATGCATATCGAGACTAAGGGCTGTTTGCGGTCACCATTTGGGAACGTGACTTTTGTCCTCAGCACGTTAAGTAAAAAGGAAACGCAGTTGCGATGACGCGACGGCGACGGCGACGGCGACGACTGCCCTTATCAGCTCAGCTCTCAATCGACCCCGTGTGGCAACAATTCAAGCAACAAGAATAACAACAGCAACAATGGCATATCAAGCTACCCCAAATGGGCCAAGGGTCGCTCTCACCTTACGACGCCTAGTCATATTTCTCAATACTTTATGGCCCATTGTCGTTCGTCAGGCTTTCTTTCTTTCTTTCTGCGTAATTATTTTATTTTATTTTTTTTTCATATCGAGTGAGCGCATCGTGTGAAAGAAACCTTTGCGAACATTTTGAGGCCGTCACAGGACAGAGGGAAGATTGCCCCTCTCCACACCACTACTCGGCTTGTTGCAATTGAGAAACGTAGTCAAATACGTATTCCTTGAAAGCACTTCAAAACTGAAACCGGTTCGAGCAATGTCTGAGAACCAAAACTTAAAACGGCATCGGAAGAAGCTCTAGTTTTGATCAGCTACAAAATATATAATACCCAGAATGGACATATGCCCTATATTTATATATATATTCGAATTCTAAACATGGTAAATAATAATGTGGAATAAAAATGCACTTTCATCAAGTACAAATATATATGAAAAGCTTTAAATCGGGAAGAAGTGATTCAGTGGGAAATCGCTTGGCAAATGAAAGCCTCGGGTTTCCAGTTAAAATCTCTAGTGTAGTGTTAAACAACAGTCCAGTTATCTGGGGGTCTTTACAATTCCAGCCCCTCTTCCATCTGTTGACAGAGATCGTAGCGATAGGTCTGTTCTTAGAATTCGCGGATCAGTTAATTAAAGCTGGAAGTGTGCGTTAATATTCCGTGTAGAATTGATTGTATTAAAGTTACCGATACACTTTATATGTGTTGTGTGTGTAGTTGTCAAAAGTGTTGGGTGAATTGCTTTTAGAGAATTTAGTATTTTAGTATTTAGTATTGTTAAACAGCAGCAAGCATCGAGTCGATCTATGTGATGGGTAAACACTTGGGTGCAGGGTATCTCGTAGTCGAACTCTCACTTATTTGTTTTGACGGCAGAAATGCAAGAAATGTGTGCGAATTTTGGGATGAAATGAATAACACTTGAATTAAGTACTTTCGACGGGGCTTAAGAAGATCAGTATTAACCGAAACGCAATGTTTAGCTTCTTTTTTTTTGTGCAGTGTATATTGTTGATACACATATTTAGTTTGTGTATTTATCGAGTTAGTAATCTTTATTCCCTGGAGACTTATCAAGTGGATTAAGCAACTGGACATGCTTAAATCGTAATGATTTATTGACTAAACAAACTTCTTATTTATTATTTAAAATGAATAATAAATGAAATGTTTTATATGCTCCAGTCGCAATCCATCAATGAATTATTGTATAAATAGATATGCACATTTCTGATCAGCACAATTATTTGTATATAAATATATACATTTTATTTTTATTGTTTTGTCACGTGTTCATCTTTAGCTGCCCCAGTGTGTTATCGCAATAATCACAACAAATGCATAATTCGTGTTTATATATCAATATGGCATTTTTACAGTATTTCTGGGCTTAGCTGTGACACATTGCAATGGATGCAGTGGATGTTGCTGCTCTTTGCTTTCAAAGTCATTCGCAAACACACTCACACACACACACGCACATATACATGTACAAATTTGCACAGACACTTTCTACAAACATTTTGTTTTTGTTTTTGGTTTTTTTGGTAAAATATTATATGACAAACATTTGATGTTGTTGCAAATAAAACTCCGATTTGACTGTCAAAACGGAATGTAGAAAGTGAATTTCAGGAAAAAAAATTGCAAAAAAAAAACAAGCAGAGAGCTTATAAAAACAAAAGAGCAAGCAAAGCAGACTGGCGCAAAAGACGAAGTGAAGAAAGCAACAAAAAAACAAAAAAAGATTCTGACGTTGCGAGGCTTTTCATGCTTTAGTTTTGCATACAAATACACACACACACACACACATAGATGGCAGAAGAGAGAGCGAGAGAGAGAGAAAGAGAGAAACAAACACACACACAAATAGGCACGCACTTTCTTTACATTTCGTTTTGACGTCGCGTACGTGTGGTTTTATTATTGTTGCTAATTTTGAAATCACAAAAAAAAAGAGTGCTGGCTGCGCGCAAGAAGAGAGCAATTTAGTTGCTTTCGCTGCTGTTGTCGTTGTTGATTTTGCTGCGGCTGCATATAAAAATAGCCAAACGATTGTCTGGCGGCCAGAAAGAGCGAGTGATGTTTGTGTTTGTGGTATGTGTGTGTGTGTATGCGGGTGTGTGTGCGTGTTTGAAAGTGTGGGAGAGCCATGCAAAGGACATAAGATCTCGATCAAGTGCAAGTCACAGTTGGCAGAGCTGCTTTGTTATTGTTATTGTTGTTGCTTTTGCCGTTAGTCAATGACACACACACAGACACACTTATATATATATACATATGTACGCACACACTTCAGCTTTTGAATTGAATTCATTTTTAAAAAACAATAAAACAATAACGCATACAGCGACAGCTGCACGCTTGAATTAAAGCTGGGCACGCACTTTGTGGCACGGCCACGAGAAAAAAGCTCACGTTCAACGTACACTCAGCACATATACACGCGCAAAAACAGCAAAAAAAAAACAGAAAAAACAAAAGAAATGAAAGAAAAAAAAGCTAAAACTAAAATTGCTGTATTTGATTGTTGTTGTTTTTCTTTTTCTCGTAATAATATTGTATGTGTTTTTCTTCGTTTTGTTTTTTTTGGAATAGAATTGGATTTCTGTTGTTGTATGCTTTGCACCTACTTCTTATTGCGGTATTGGAGAATTGGAAAAAAAAATAAAAATTTGTTATTACTGACGCAACGGACTGACGTCGTCTGCTGCTTGCTGCGACTGCGACGACGACGCGCACGGCACGGCTAAACAACGTATAATGAAAACGGTCAGGCGGCAACGCCAACGTTGACAAACAGACAGCGCCAACCAGAGAAAAAAAAGCCAGAGAGAGAGAGAGTAAAATGGGTAGAGAGATCAGAGCGCTGCATGGAGCTTGCGCGTGCTGGTACTGCTTTTGCGTGTTTGTGTGTGTGTGCGTACGGATGTATATGTGCCTGTTTGTGTAGGTGAAAGAGAAGCGTAAATATAAGAGAGAGAAACAAAAAGCACGCGCGCCATGTACAAAATGTGCCTGATGTGCACGCTGGCATCGCCTCGCCCCACCCCGTGGAAGTTAACTACACGCACACACATACATATATTTATAATGCATATATGTATGTATGCATGAATGTACATACATATAGGCATATGCAAGTACGCTCATATGTATGTATGTATTGCACACTGAAAAGGGCACATGCTAAAAACAAAGCCAAAAGCTGACGAACTGGTCCGCAGCAGCAGCAGGAAAAATCAACTTCTCTGTTGCTCTGCCCTGCACTTTGAACTGAAATTACTCTTACGTACATACAAACATACATGCACATGTACACATACATATACATATACATAAACATATACATATATGTATACATGTATTTTCGTTAGTATTGTGTGTATGCATTTGTTGTTTTTTGTAATTACCGTTAATATTATGAACAAATTTTTAATTGTTGCTTTTTACACACACACACACACAGGCACTCTCTCTCACACACACACACACATTCACAGCAAGCACTAGCACGTCAAAGCACACACAATAATATGTATGTGTATGTACACAAATACTACATTTATACGTACACTTGAAAAAAAAGAACTAAACGATAAAATTGCAAAAAACGTTGCTGCTTTGCTATTTTATATTTTGTATTTTGTAATTTGTATTTTGAATTATGTTGAATTGTTGTTGATCGTTCGCTTGTGTTAGTTACTATGCTTCTTTATGCTGCTACCCGCACACACTGCAATGACACAAGCAAAAGCAAACTAAATGCTGGCGCTGTCGCTGGCTTTAACGTTGACTGCCACAGTCGCAGTCGCAGTCAGAAGCGCTAGCAGCAGAAGCAGCAGCAGCAGAAGCAGCAGCAGCAGCATTCGCAAAAACAACAAAGGCAAAACGCACAGTGCAGCCGTAGTACGCGAGAGCGGAGAGCGTGAGCGCACGTGACGTGGTGCCCCGTTGAAATGTTTGTCTGTATTTGTTTGTATTTGTGTGAGCGCGAAACAGGAAGACCAAAATAACAACAACAGCAGCAGCAGCAACAGCGGCAGCGACGTCGGCCCAGCTACATTTGTAATTGTAAATAACAGAGAGAAGGCAAGAACATTAGGGTGGCACCGAATACGCTGTAAGCACGATTGGAAATTTGGAGAGCCAACAAATACTTAAACTTACAAAATTTCCGCTAATCTAAACACACACACATATATATATATATATATATATACTCAACACTGAGCTGTAAAATTCAAGACATCTGTCGAATTGCAAGTAAACAACAATAAGTATTTTTTTCGATCACGTAATTTACCATAATCAACTGTATTTCGAGTGGAATATTAACAGTTCAACGTTGGGTTACAGACTCTCTATTTGGGACCACTCTAAGATGCTGCGAATGCCCTGTTGTGCTTATGCTGCTGAGCCGCTACGTCTGCGACGGCGACGGTGACAGCGACTGCGACCGTGGCTGCAGAAGCAACTTCTTTATGCTGCATTGTTGCTGCTGCCTCACAGCGACAGCGGTTGTAAGTTATAGTTTGGTTGCTGCGCTGCAGCCGCTTTTTTTTATGCACTGTTTCGTTTTCCAAAATGTTTTGTTGCCGGGCTTTTGTTATTGTTATGATGCGTCGTCGTCGTCGTCGTCGTAGGCAATTTCGAAACGTGCTGGCATTTGTGTGGAACGGAACTTGTTTTGATATGCATGGGCTCGTCGTTGCGGCTTCGCTGCCAGCGTCGCATGTAATAGTGGCAGCGGCAGTGGCAGCCTCTCCAAACTTGCAGCCCCAAACAACAAAAGCAACAGCAAATTGTTTGTTTTTACAATTCCTCTTGCATTTTACTTTATTGTGCGTTTCCCTTTATACATGAACACACACACACACAGATGCATGAGGGGGCAGCTTGCAGCAGCAAGACTGCAACAGCGCTGCTTGCCGCGTTGCTGCCGCCAACCCAGCAAAGTTTGAAGAAGGTTCATTGTACTGTTTTGGGTTTCGTCTTTGCCACTCAGCCACTTTGCCACTTTGTCGCCTTTCGCCTTTAACATATTGTAAATTCTTGTTAAGCTCACCCAAAAGCACTTATTGTGGCATGCACTTTCCGAATTGACTTACATTCTTGCAAATGCCATTCATCAATCTTAATAAAAGTTCAATTTTTTACAGCAATATTCAACTAAATAGTTGATTGCTTCTCAAAGTAGGCCATATGCTGTTCAAGCCATAATCAAAATCGGATAGTTTTTATTGTTCTTTGGCTTACATTTTTAGCTATGCATTTATACATATGTACATCTGACTTACATTCTTGTTAATATAGGTATATGTACATACATAAATACATTGTACATTTACATCCAACTGACGAAGTGCAAAGCAAAATAGGAAAATAGCAAAATCGTTCACAGCAGCTAAAGGAATACAACAAAATCTGGCTGAAATCTCATCTGATTGATAAACATATCGAGATGAGGATGCTTAGATGATATATGTATACCCCGTAAGAATATTTATGTAGACATTAACTATAGGAAATACATAATATTGTAAGACTGCATTTGCATTTATTGTATTTAATAATATCGGAATTTATTGCAATTATCACCAGAAAGTCAGCATGTTAATTATAAGTCTATAGCAATGCATTTATAAATCGATAAAAATCGATAGTGCACATTTTAAAGGCCATAAGATCTACGGTTACGTCCAACTGCAATTTCTTAATTTTCTATTTTTGTCTACATATTTTTTTTTGGCTATAATTAGATTTGAGACCTGCTAAAATAAAGTTGCATTTATTTTTATGTAAGCATTATTTGCGTAAGTGTCCGATTCCAAAATAAATGGCAAGCCTACCTAGACAATTGAATAATGAGTCCTATGTAACGGTAAAGTTGGCCAGAAGGGAAGTAAGAAAACAAGTTCGCAGCAAATACAGTGCCATGAAACAAACTCTTGGCTGTCTTATTGGCAATCTCGTTCCACACAGCACTTAAGGGTTATTTGCAACCAATAATTTCTTCCTTCAGCGACCATCGTGCTCTGCAACAGTGCCGATCTGTGCTCAACGTCTGGTTGCCTACCAACAACAGAACCTCAAACAACAAATCGACCAGCCTCAAAGCGACCAATAAGTAATCTACCAACACGAAATCGACCAACGAGAAATCCACCAACCAGAAATCCACCAACTAGAAATCCACCAACCAGAAATCCACCAACAAGTAATCCGACAAGAGAACCACCTACAACAAAACCACCAACGCCTGCAGCATGCCCATCAAGAGATCTACCAACAGAACCACCAACGACTAGTGAAGTATGCCCCCCAACAACAACACCACCACCAACAACAAGGACTAGGGGAGCATGTCGAGCCAAACTGGATATGCTTAGCCGAAGGATTAAGCAGTGCGACTGTTGACGGGCTATGAGCATCTATCTGTTGTTGTTGTTGGAATTAAATTTTTATTTCTAGCTACAACAACAATGCCAACAACAATTGTTCGGGCACCTGGCAAGGAGTGAGATCAGTTAAAAGTGAGATCAGAAAATGAGAATTGAGCGTATTTTTGATTGACTGATAAGAGCCACCAAGTGATTATTGCATTGAATGACGGAAATTGAAATAGCATTTGATGTTTTTTGTGTTTTTTTATGTTAATGTTAATGTTAAATAAACTTATATTTGACAATGTTTTTTTGATTCAGCATTAACAGACTGACAAAAAATAAATGGGGGTCACAATTGGGAAGAATTGCAGAGGAGCGAAAATGCAGCGCAAAGCTGGCGAGGGCCAATGGCAAAAGTTCAAAGGGCAGATGCGCAAAACCAGAAGCGGAAGCAAAGCGTAATTGGCAAAAGGCAGGCTTACATTGTGTCTCCGCTGCCGGCACACAATGCAGCAGCGGTGCGCTGAGAGCGATTGGAAAGCCCAAATGGCAACTCGTGCTCTACTTGAGAGTTTATTACGTCGCAAACAAAAACAATATGCAAAACAACAACAAAAACAAACCCAAACACAAATAGACAGCAAAGCGAGACGAAATACAGACAACAGAGACGCAGACGGAGACGGAGACGGAGACGGTGACGGTGACGGAGACAAAGAGTGAGCGAGGGAGAGCGGAAATATATTTGTTGTGTTGTTATTGCTAGGTTTTTGGGGTATACAGAGCGGGGAAGTTGGAGAGCGAGAGAAACAGAGAGAGCGCCAGTTGTAGAAAACCAGGTGAGTAAGGAGCATGGTGCTAAAAACAATTGCGTGTGTGCAAAGAGCGGGCAAGACACAAAATGAGAGCATAACAGGATGGCGAAAGAGCATGTAAAGCAGCAGCAAGGAAAATGCGTCGCAAAAACACAGCGCAGGTGCGCAGAGTGCAAGTCATGGTGGCCGGCAGGACGAATGAAAATAAAACAGAGAATTCCAAAATAGCTTACCCATGTATATGTGTATGTGTGCATACATATATATATCGTATGTATGTATGTATGTGTATGCAGTAGATGAAGAACAGCATTGGGAGGAGTAAACAGAAACCGGAACACAAAATGAAAAGAAGATGAAATCAAGCACTGAAACCGTATAGAAACATCAACAATAACAACAATGTGCAACGTGCGTACTCAGCAATCATATATAGACAGAGAGAGAGAGAGAGAGAGAGAGAGAGAGAGAGAGAGAGTGCGAACGGATGTGGGAGTCTGTG